GGGGGGGGTATTTTTGGGGGGGGTTTGGGTTTTTTTGGGGGGGTTTTTAGGCCTGGATGCTGCTCTTGGTGCTGAAGGCCAAGTAATAAACCACGAGGCCGATGGCAGCGGCCACAACCTCCGTGGACACCCAGGGCCCGTTCCAGGCTCCCTGTGGGGAAAAGGGGGGGTCAGAGGGGCCCCCCCAAAACCCCCTCGAGCTCCTCAGACCCTCCTGGGACCCCTGAACCCCCCCTGGGCTCTGGAATGCAGAGTCACCCCCCAAATGGGTCCTGATATCCCAGGGTGGGATTGCTAAAAATCCCTTGGGATGGACCAAAATCCTGCTGTCAATCCCTTAAAAACACTGGGACGCCCCAAAATCCAAATGTCAACCCCTTAAAAATCCTGGGACGCCCCAAAATCCCACTGTCAATCCCTTAGAAACCCTGGGACATCCCAAAACTCCATTGTTTGCCTCCTAAAAACCCTGGGACACCCCAAAATCCCAGTGACAACTCCTTAAAAACACTGGGACACCCCAGAATCCCAGTGTCACCCCTTAAAAACCCTGGGACACCCCAAAATCCCAATGTCAACCCCTTAAAAACTATGGGACACCCTAAAAAAACCAGGACACCCCAAAATCCCAGTGCCACCCCCTGAAAACTCCAGGGACACCCCGAAATCCCACTGGCATCCCAACCCTAAAAACCCTGGGTCACCCTAAAATCCCAATATCAACCCCTTAAAAACCTTGGGACGCCCTAAAATCCCAGTGACACCCCCTTAAATCTCTGGCACATCTCAAAATCCCACTGTCTGCCTCCTAAAAACCCTGGGACACCCCCAAAAAAACAGGACACCCCAAAATTCCAGTGTCATCCCCTGAAAATCCCAGGGACGCCCCAAAATCCCGCTGTCATCCCAATCCTAAAACCCTGCGTCACCCTAAAATCCCACTGTCAACCCCTTAAAAACCCTGGGACGCCCCAAAATCCCACTGTCACCCCCTGAAAATCCCTGGGACACCCTGAAATCCCACTGGCGTCCCAACCCTAAAAACCCTGGGACACCCCAAAATCCCACTGGCAAGGCCTTAGAAACACTGGGACAACCCAAAATCCCACTGTCACCCCCTTAAATCTCTGAGACACCCCAAAATCCCAGTGCCACCCCCTGAAAATCCCTGAGACACCCCAAAATCCCAGTGTCACCCCCTGAAAACCCCAGGGACACCCCAAAATCCAGGCGTTCGCCTCCCCGACCACCGAGACGCCCCAAAATCCCACTTACGAACACTGGGACACCCCAAAACCCCGCTGCCACCCCTCAGAATCCTCGGCACACCCCAAAACCGCCCTCCAGGAGGGCTCAGGACCCCCCTAAAGCCCCCAAATCCCCCCTAAAGCCCCCAAATGCCCCCCAAAAAACCCACCCGGTGGTCGACGTTGACGGTGAAGAGGGGCCGGATCCGCGACACGTCCTCGTTGTTCCGCTGGGCCTGGGGGGGAAAAGGGGGGGAAAAGGGGGTTCAGGGAGGGGTTGGGATGCCTCCCCAAAAGGAGGGGGGTGCTGGGGGTCCCCCCAGGGGGCACAGGGGGGGTCCTGGGGGTGCCCACCTTGCGCAGGGCACTGTAGGACTCCTCGTCGAAGAACTTCACCTCGTAGGTGCCCGACTGGGCGTGGCGGTGCTCCAGGCTCCACGACACCTGGGGAGGGAAAAGGGGGGGAAAAGGGGTGCTGAGACCCCCCCATGGAGCCCCCCAAATTCATCTGAACCCCCCCAGGGTCCCTCCAACCCCCCCCCATTCATGTGAGCATCCCAGAGCCCCCCCAAACTCATCTGAACTTTCTCGGGATCCCTCCAAACCCCCCCACTCACCCGAGCATCCCAGAGACCCCCCAAACTTAACTGAGCCCCCCCAGGGCCCCTCCAAACCCCCCCACTCACTCGAGCATCCCAGAGACCCCCCAAACTCATGTG